CGACGACAGCCCACGTCCAGGCCGCTTTTCTCATGCGCGGAGGGGCAAGAGAGGTGAGACAGGTGACGCACTGGACACGGTGCCTGGCACACGGTCGCTGCTGCTGCTGCTGCTGCTGCATTCCGTTAAGTCAATCCCAACACACCGAGACACAGCCGAACTGCCCCGGGGGTGTCACCTTTACAAAGGAGCTCAGGTGGCACAGAGGTGACATGCAGGGCTGCTAACCTCCAGGTCAGCAGTTCAAAACCGCCAGCCGCTCTAGGGGTAAAGAGGAGGCAGGTGTTTGACTCCCCTGAAGAGCTGTAGTCTTGGAAACCCACAGGGGCAGTTCTGACCCTGTCCTGTAGGGTGGCCATGAGTCAGAGGGGACTCAATGGCAGTGGGTTTGGTTGGAATCTTTATGGAGCAGATCACCAGGACTCTCCGAGGGGAGCGTTTAGATCAGCAACTAGATACTGAACCTCTGGTCCACCAGGACTGAGTCCTTTCTGACTCAGAGTGACCCCATGTCCACCCAAAGGAAACACTGCCCGTTCCTGCCCCGTCCTCACAATTCTTCTCAGGTTTGACCCGGCAATGGCGTTGCGCGTCCGCGCTGTCCACCCACCGGGTCCGGGGCTTCCTCATGTTCACTGCCACTCTGCTTCACCACGCAAGCTGTCCTTCTCCAGGGACCGGTCTCTCCTGATCACCTGTCCAAAGTGCGTGAGATCGAGTCTCTCCGTCCTTGCTTCTAAGGAGCCCTCTGGCTGTATGTCTTTCAAGATAGATGTGTGTTTGTTCTTCCAGCTGTCGCCGCGCTGTCAATTGTCCTCGCCAGCCCGCTCTTCCGATGCGCCCCTCCTCTCCTTTACTCAATGTCGAACCTGCACGTGCCCATGAGATGATCCAAAAGCCCATGGCTGGGTCAGATGCACCTTAGTTCTCAAAGTGACATCCTTGCTGTTCAACACTTTAGAGCCTTGGGCACCAGGTCACCACACTGTCACAGGAAGCTGTTGCTGTCATTGTGGTCAAGGGAACCTTGCCCCTGACTCTGATGATGTGTGGGGCCTGGTAAAAAGAGCAGCACCCGGGTTTGCTCAGGTGAGCGGTCCGTGTCTGGAAGAACCCCCTCAGCCCTGGGCAAATGGAGTCAGTCAGCCACCCTACCTATTCCCCAAGGAGGGCAGAGGCGGGGAGGGGAGCCCTGGCATTGAAGGTATGGAGAAACACCCCCGAGTACCATCTCTCAGTCAGGAGTTCCTCAGACCCAGCCCTGGTGCCCCCTCCCCAGAGGTGGCAGAACTTGGGGAGACCCACTGGCAGTCTGGCATCCTGGGGAGGATCTGTGGGTGGCAGAGCCCTGGCACGGCCCCTGGGGCAGTGGCTCTGATAATGTGCCCGGTCTGCATCAGCCTCCTGCAATATTTGCTTAACAATCAGCCCAGAAACAGCATTGTTCAGGACAAAAATGAAAGGCATTAGGCTGGAACTTGTTTTTCCCCTCGCTGTCCAAATTCCTCTGGGCCCTTGGGAAGAGAGACAGCATCTCAGTGCCGCCACCTCGGGGACAAGCTAAGGTGCCCGTGGGGACACCCGGCTTCTCTTTGCCACCTCCACTTCCTGGGGCCTGGGGGCAGAGTCTGGGGGCAGGAGAGAGAAACTTCAGTCTGGTGGGAAGGTGCGCTCACTGAAGGCCCCCACCCACCCCCATCTCACCCCCACACATACACACCTCCCTGGAGCCCATTTTACAGACAAGGAGGTTGAGGCCCCGGCAGGGGGGTGAGGGTGGGAAGTACTGTGTGGCAGCACAGGGAGTCTCAACAGACATGGGCTTCTCTTTACATGTGTGTTTGCTAGTTAAACACCTTTATCATGGGCTGAGGAAGTGGACTGAGGGTGAGTGGAGGGCACATTGCCCCTTTCTCAAGAATCAACACTGGAGCTCTTGGGTCCCTTAGTGCAGGGGACTGTTCTCCATGTCCAGCGCCCACTCCACCCAGGGGGTGAGGCAGGAGCCCTGATTGAGGACCCTGCCCACCTGTTGGGGGAAGGAGGGCAGGGAGGAGGCCTGCTCACCTGCCAAGGTTGCCTGGCATGCAAATGGGTGTGGAGCAGAGCCTGAGTGCCCAGGGCGGGCCGCACCCCAGGGACCAGCAGGGCCAGGCCGGCTGCCAGGGTAAGGTGGCTCACGGAGGCACTCTCCTGCAGGAGGTGTCAGCTCCTGCATCCTCACAACCACATCCTCTTTCCGCTCAGTCAGAGGCCGAAGAGCTGCCCGAGTCTGCAGTGTTCCACTCGAGGGGCTTTGCGAGACCCCCGTGGAAAGGGAGACTGCTGTGGACGGCCCCAGTCAGGAAGGGATTCCTGGGGGAGGTGCTGGGGCTGGTGGGGAAGTCTGTTGGTGGGGGCTGATGCTTTCTGGGCATAGAGGGGGCTGGAGGAGAGGCAGGAGGAAGGAGGCATGTGTAGTTGGAAACCGGTTGGCGGCACGGCACGTGAGTGCTCACATCGGATGAGGGTCCTGCCTGTGAATTCTTTCAGCAAGAGCCAGTTTGACTTGCCGTCCCTAAGACATCCTATTCTGGCAGGGGTGGGGGCTGCTGGCAGGGCCAGGAAAAACTGAGGTGCCCTCCCCCAGTCCCAGAGCAAGGGGAGTGCCCTGGGCTTGCCCGAGCCTGGCATCCAGATTACACCCTGTACCCTGGGACATTCTGTACCCAGCAGGACCTAGGAAAGGGACAAAGGTCCCCATGGGGTGCAGGCAGCCCAAGCTTGGCTCTGGCAGCTGGCCCAGGCCTAGACTGAGATAGGAACCCCTCTCCTCTCCTCCCAGTCGCGTTGGAAGCGGGAGGGCCCTGAGTTTGTGTCTTTTGGGGTCACTAAAGTTGCCAGAGGATGGGACCCTGCTTGACAAGTGTCCCTTACGCAGCACAGACCGGAGGGAGAGTGCTAAGGGGTCTGGGCCCTGGGATCCAGCAGCCTTGAGTTTGAATCCTAGCTCTGCCATGAGCAGCTGTGTGAGCTTGGTCAAGCAGCCTGACCTCTCTGAACCTATCCATGGTGCGTGGGGAAATGCCCGACATGCTTCCCACAGAGCCTGGCACAAGGGCTTGCTCTGGAAGAGGTAGCTCTGTGCTGTCATTGTGCTGGAACAGACAGACAGATGGACACCATGGGTTCGAGACCTCCAGGCCTTGCCAAGCAAGCAGTCTCTCTGAGCTTCTTCCGGTGATAGTGACGGGTGGATGCACCCCTCCAGGGGCTTCCAGTGAGTAGCCGGGTTCCTAGAGCCCCATAAGGAGCAAAACGGAGCAGTAGGTTAAACAAAAGGTGGGTGGTTCGAACCCAGCAGTCGTTCTGTGGGGAAAAGATGAGGTCATCAGCTTCTACGGAGATTGACAGCCCATGGGGCCGCTCTCGTCAGCCACCCTGTCGGGTCACCGTGAGGTGGAATCGACCACAGCAGGTTTGGTTTGGACAACCCATGGTGTGTGTGTTGGGGGGGTGGGGGTGGCTGTCCAGTGGTGTCCTCAGATCAGAGGAGGACACAGGCTCCCGTGTCACCGGATCAGGGTGTGGGGGCAATCAGCTGTTAGAAAGTGGACCTAGGTTTTATTACTGCTGAATGTTATCACCCTCGATAAGAGCCTGATTAAAGGAGGGGACAGGTGTGGGCGAAGCAAAGTGCAGCCGGGGCTGCTGAGCCAGCCTCGGGCCTCCTGGGGCCCCGTCAGGACCCTGTAGCTGGTCCTCGCCCCCGAGCTGCTGCAGGGGGCAGGAATACCCCAGGTGGAGGGCTCCTGCCCAAGGGACAGATTCCGCACCTCCAGGGTCCTCCCTCCAGACTGCCTAGGGGCTGTCTGCTGCACGGCCCCAAATGCGAGACAGGTCTGGGAGCCACTCCCAGCTGTGCCCCTTCTAAGCCAGGTGACTCTGGGTGAATGGCGCCAGTCCTGCCCGCCTGGGTTTTGCTGTCTATAATGCACACTGGTCCTGAGTGGACTGGAAGCTTGGGGTCAGGATTAAATAAGGAGAAGGAGCCAAAGCACCTGCGATTGAACCCCCCGCCCCGTCCTGCCCCAGGACCTTCGGACCCTCTGCCTGATTCTCTCCAAAGCCGCCCCACAGAAAATGCAGTCACCCTTCACCATGCAGGACCCTGGTGGGCTGAACTACTAACTGACGTGCTGGGGGGCGTGACCCCATCCAGCGGAGCCGTGGAAGAGAGAGCTGGCAACTTGCTCCCGTTGAGATTGTAAACCAGAAACCCCTGTGAAGCAGTTCTACTCTGTCCCTTGGGGTCACCCTGGGTAGCAGCGATGGCAAGGGCAGTGTTTGGAGCCAGAGGAAAAAGTCCAGGCAACCTGTTTCCATAAAAGACCAACCAAAGCCACAGACAAGCCCTAAGAAGCCTTACTCTGTCACACGGGGGCCCTGAGAGTCAGAGTGGGCTCCAGGGTACCAGGCTTGGCTTCTCCCCCTCGTGAGCAGCAGGCAGGCTGGCAAGCTCAGCGTGCCCAGTTTAGTGCCCAGTTTATGGACAGGGAAACGGAAGCCTGGAGTGGAGGGGAGTCCAGAGTCAGAAGTCAGGCATCCTAGCTCCACGCCCACTGCACTTTCACCTTCTCCACCAGCATCCCTGCCCCTTTGGCCCTGTCCGCCATGCCAGCCTGGCTTAGTGGGCCCCAGACTGCTGGGATGCCAGGCTGGTGTGGCCACAGGGTCCCAGCCCCCAGAGAGCACAGGACTCCCGGGGACCGTCCCCCACCGGCATGGCATTCCACACCATCGGAGACGGCTATAAAAAGCAACACTTTTCAGCCCCGGAGTGTGACCCGTACGACTTCACAGAATCAGCGGAAAGACAGAGATAACCTTGGGGAGGCCTGACTCTCGAGTGGATGGGGGCAGGGCGGGGCACCCTGGGGCTGCAGCCTGGATTTGCGACTTGGCCGTGGCCACAAAGGCCTCTCAGGAGTGGCCGCCATTCCCATTTTTGTCACCACCGTGTGGTTGCAATGAGCCTTGGGAGCCGACCATGCACCCCCTGGCTGGAGGAGGCAGGCCCGTTGAGGACCCCGTTGTACAGACAAGGAGACAGAGCCTCAGGAGAGATCGATCGTCTGGCTAAGGGCACACAACGAGGAAAGTGTGGAACGGGGCTGGACAGTCTCGGCCACTCCAGGTAACCTCCTTCCCACCCACCCACCCACCCAGTCACATTTGTCTGAGTTCTGCCCGTCTCTCTTCCGGACCTTCCCACAGGCCTTCCATCGCCTCTCTCTGGTCTGTCGGACCTGCCCGGCTCACCGCACTTACTATGTCCTAGGCACTGCTCTGGCATCGCAGAGAAGGAACGCCAACCAAACGCCCTATCCTGCAGGAGCTGACATTCGGAGTGGACCGCTGGACTCGGAGCTTCTCCCACGGGCGAGGCCTTGTTGCATGTGATGGCGACGAAACCACACAGCCAGCCTGGCTCTTCCTCCCAAGACATCAATCTCCCGCTTACCTTTTAATTAAGCAACACAGACCCCCTGATGGAATAGCACCTCAAACGTACGTAAACCTGCCAGAGAAACCCAAGACTGCTGGAGCCCCAGGGAGCTTCACCCTCAGGCACGCGGGTGAGGGTCTGCTCTCAGGCACACTATGGGGGAGAAAGGAGCCTTGGTGGCTTAGTGGTTACGTGCTGGACTGCGGTCCACAAGGTCCGAAGATCAAAACTACCAGCTGCTCCTCGGGAGAAACAGGGCTTTCTGCTCCTGTGCAGTGACAGTCTCAGGAAGCCACGGGGCAGTTCTACCCTGTCCTGTAGGGTCGCTGTGAAACAGCATCGGCTCGATGGCAGCGAGTTTGCCTTGGTTTCTGCGGGAGGTGGGCTTGAGACTTTGTGACCCTCTATGAGGTAGCCAGGCCCCCTAAAGGGCAGCTAAGGGACGAAGAGGGAGCCCAGAGCAGAGTCCCGGGTGCCAGTCAGACCTCGGAGAGAACCCTGTTTGCTGTGTGCTTTCTGGTGGGTCCCCGCACCTCTCTGGGCCTTGGTCCTCTTGTGGCAGGAAGACCGTGGGCTTGGAATCGAGTGTCCCTGGACTTACAGGAGGCTCTCAAGACCCATCTGTCTCTGGCTGGCCAGCTTGATCCAGCCCCACCTCATCTCCTCGACTTCCCCCTCCGCCTCCCCCACCCCAGCCCCCAGACCTCAACAGTGGTCCTTGTCCTTCCTCCCACCTGAGACTCAGCAGAAGGCCAAGACCCTGTCTCCTCACCCCCCTGCCCACTCCCCACCGCCTGGCTTGGAAGCCAGAAAAAGGAGAGGCAGAAAGAAGGTCACATTTCTCCCTTGGCCCGCTGCCTGGTTTTCATTAGGCCCGCTGCCTAATTTTCCTGGGCGGCACTTGCTTTCTTGGCTAGTCTCCCCTCTTTCTTAACCATCTCAGAGGAGAGAGCAGCCACACCTCCCGGCCCCCTCACCACCCCGGTATCATGGCCCGGAGTTCTTCCTGCAGTGCCACCTCGGTGCCTCTCACTGTCACGTCAGCCGCAAGTCCCCTTTTCCTGGAGTCCCCAAGGACCAGAGAGCACAGCTCAGACGTACCCAGACTTGTTTAATAACAACACTAATTATGATCATTTGCATTTATTGAGCACTTACTATGTGCCAGGCCCTGTGAACTCAGTGGCACCCCCCCGCTCCCCAACAGCCTTAGGAGGTGGAAGCTGTTCTTATCCCCATGTTGCAGAAGAGGAGAGTGAGACTCAGTCAAGGGGGAACTAGGAGCCACTGACCACCAGGCTGGACAGCCTCAGAGAGGGCATGAATGTCCTTCTCCCCTTCTCCGGGCTCATCAACACCCCCCCACCCCCTTCCACTCCAACCTCCTGAATTCCTGGATGTCTCCCTGTCATCCAGATGGGAGCTTTCCCAAACGCAAACACTACGCCTATGGGGTAGTGAACGCTGAGAGATCCGACTGTTTTTAAAGGGGAAGGAGGCAAGTTTGCCCGAGCTGGACTTCCGAGTCTCAAGGGTGGCTTCTGGAGATGCCGGGGACAGGGGCACTTTCTGGGTGTGGGATCAGCTGAAGATGGGAGGGGTCAAGAGGAAATTGAGCCATCTGGGAAAGGGTAAGGTGGGCCAGGACACTAGGGGAGCCCTGTTGCCCCCCCAGTCAACCTGGGACAAGCTGAAAGCCATGGACTGAACTCTGCCTGTGGGCAGAGAGATCGGGCAGGACGAGGGGCAGCAGCCTGCCCCGAGAAGCTGCCGACTGGATGATGGGCAGTGGGGGTGTGGTAGGGAGGGTAGGGACCCTCTGGAGGAGTCGAGCGCCTGCAGTCACTACCAGCCACACTCCCCTCCTCAGAATCACAATCACTGCACTCCACAGCACCCCCAGGGCCAGGCCGGGGATAAAAATCCTGCCGTGGGGACTGCAGTGATCAGAGTCGAGAAGGGAGGGGCGGGGAATGAAAAGGGAGAGAGAAAGAAAGAAAAGGGGGAAAAACCTTCCAGAGCCTGACATTCTTTTTAGGATGCTCATAAAAGATAATGTGACCTGTAAAGTCTGCGAGCTGCTTCCCAGCCGATGGCGCCGGGCCCCATCCCCACCCCCGCTCCCACCCACCTCCCCTCTCTGACCCTAGACCGAGGGTGCTGCCCAGGGCCCCCAACCTCCTGAAGAGCAGGGGCATCTGGGGCTGGGGTACACGTTCTGCCAGGTGGGCAAAGCTGGAGATGAAGTCTTTTCCCCATTTCTTCCCACCGCCCTGTCCCCAGCCCTCGGGTCAACAGGGCTTAGCTGCCAGGCCGTGGGGGGTGAGGGGTGGGGGGAAATGTGCTGGGGCAGGTCCCAGCTCTCGCTGTTGGGTGAGTCAGCCCGTGGGAGTGTGTTGATGAATCCCAATCCCGGCTCTTTGTTTTCGGCTCCTGGGAATTCGAAAACAGGAGTGGGGGGAGGGGGGAGGTAGACACCCTCCGCCCCCCTCTGGATCTGCTGCCAAGTAGCTATGGTGAGATGGGAGGCAGGAGGCCTGGGTTCTAGTCCCCACTTCCCCTCCGACGGGTTCCAGGAAAACACTCGGGTTCTTAGCCGTTTGGGGCCTCAGTTTCTCGGCCTTTAAAACGGACGCTAAAAGGCATTTCCTTGTCTGACCACAAGCTCGGAATGAAGCGGAAAGTGACGTCAGCACAGTTCTCCATCTTGGGCGTAGCCAGCCATGGTGTTTGGGGCACCTACTATGTGCAGGGACCATCTAGGAGGGTGCAGTTGGTCCCCCCAGCAGCCCTGGGCAAGCGCTGTGCGATCACCACCCCTTTTCAAAAGAAGAAACTGAGGCTCCCAGGGGTGAAGGAACCCGCCCGAGGCCACATGACTTACGCACTCCACTCCCAGGATCCCCGCCGCCCACGGTGGGATTAAGGCAGTGGGGTCACTGGGGTTTGGTGTCATCCAGTTTGGTAACTCAGGGTGCCACCCCACCCCCACCCCACGAACCTCCTCCCACACTGACCAGACCATGCAGAGGCCTTAGCAATGCTGGTGATCCGTCCACTCAGTAAGCAGCAGCATTTCTTAGATTATATGACTACCAACGACAACCTTTTAGAGGTAAAATCTTTCTACACTGAATTACAACATGATTCGTTGCAGCATTATTAGTAACTGGGCGAAGCCTTTTTTGTATTTTCCCCCTCCGCCTTCTTTTCCTTTAATTACTACCTCCTTCTCAAAAAAAGGTATTGATACAGGCTCACAAATACTAATTACCACCCTATTGTAGCTAAAACACCAGGACATTTGACAACATCAGTGGCTGTAAAAACACCGGGCAGCGCAGAAACAGCAGCACACGAGACCACGTGGGTTAAGCCTCCTTGGAATTAGGTAATAATGACAGCTCTGGCTGTGGAGCAAGTTAGAAGGTTCAAGAAGTAAATCAACGCAGAGGTTTAGCCACATGGGTAGATTGATACATGTAAGCTGGGGTTATGAAAAAAAATGTGTTGTTATAACTAACTACAAGGATGTTTTTACAAAAAACCAACAAACCTGCTGAAACACTGCAAATAAGTTTTATGGACAGCCTTTTTGTCACCCCCTGGGGCAGGCACCTGGTGCAATCCTACAGAGGCCATGTCGGGTGATTGCTGGGCGGGCAGGGTGTCTTCTGTCCTCTGGGTGGGGGCCAGTGCAGGAACATGAAACGAAGTAGTTCCTTCTTCCTTCCATGGGTCCTGTGGGATCCACTGCCTCCTCCCTCAGCCCCACCCATGTCCCCACTAGGTCCTTGAGACCAGAAGGCGCTGGACCTCAGAGAGACCATGGCTTCTTTTGACACTTTCTATGGACAATCCTGAACCTGGTGTTCCCAAACACGGATGTACCAGTGCTATGGCAGGGAGCCCTGGAGAACTCCAGCTCTGCTCAGGAAGGGCTCAGGCTGGGCGGTTTCCCAAGCTCCTGGACTCCCTGTCCTCACCCCTGCCCGAGAGGGGGCTCCCCCTCAGGGCCTCACTGCCACCTGAGAACAGGCCCTAGGAGCACTTCCCTTTCAGGGTGCAGATTTCTAACATCTCCCCATAACTGCCTCTTAGCCCCTTTCCTGGGGTTCATCTGACTCTCTCACATACCTCTTTTGAGCATGGCCTGTAATAACCCTTCCCTGGGTGAGGGACCAGAGTCCTAGGGTGGGAGCAATGGCTAAGCATCTGATTATGAACCAAAAGGTTGTCTGTTTGAGTCCAGTTAGAGCAGGGGTCCTCAAACTACGGCCCGCGGGCCACATGCGGCCCGCCGAGGACATTTATCCGGGCCCCAGGTGTTTTTGCCGCCGCTGCCTGTCCTGCTTAGCAGCTGACTCGTCCAGTGTGCACAAGAATTTGTTCATAGTGGTTTTTTTTAAACTCTAGTCCGGCCCTCCAACAGTCTGAGGGACAGTGAACTGGCCCCCTGTTTAAAAAGTTTGGGGACCCCTGGGTTAGAGGCACCTTGGAAGAATGGCGTGGCGAACTATTTCTGAAAGTTCACAGCCATTGGGACCCACGGGACACAGTTCTACTCTGAAGTATGGGGTCACCGTGAGGTGGAGTAGACTTGGTGGCAACTGGTTTTAGGGTGGGGCCCGGCTAGGGGGGGTGGATGCCAAGGCCCAGTGTTTCTGCCCCCTTCTTACATGTTTCTGAACACTCTGATTCACATTAGCCCACGCCCTGTGTGCGCTAGGAAAGCCACTGCCCCTCTCTGTGCCCCCACAGTGCCAAAGTAACAATGGCGAGGTGTCAAATGGGTACTGGGCGGCAGATGCTGTCCATACTGCCCTCGTTGTACTCTCATTTAAACGACACGCCAGCTGTCACTCTGGAGGGAAGATGACTTGTGGGGGCACACAGCGACTTGGTGGTGGGGTCAAGGATCAGATCCCATGTTTCCACCATGAAGGCCTCCGGCCTTAACCACCAAGGTCCCTTCCAACCCTGCCATCTTTCAAGCCTCTTGGCAATACTATCTACACCCACAGCCTGGTTCAAAGCGGTTTCCACCGTAGACTTGTCGAGG